AAATATTGTTAATGCTATATGTAAGTATTTTATCACTGAACGAAGTATTGTATGTCAATATTTAAATATTGAAATCACTCATAAAGTAGTATTTGTAACACTAAACATTGAAATACTTGAGCACTAAAAGGTGTATTTGAATCACAGAATATTACTAAACACTATATTTTTAATACTAAAAATAAATAATTAATCAATGATTTTCAGTATAATATTCTGTAAGGATCCTCAGGATATTTTATATAAAGTGTTCTATTTTAATGAATACAGTCGATTTTCTCAAAACGTAAAGGAGAGACGACAATATGTTTCAAACCAAAGTTTCAAGGATGGTAGAAAATTACTTCAACTTAAGGTTCCTGGGGAATCGCATCATCCATCTCTTTTTAATGACGTCAGAAGCGAGAAAACGCATGCTAAAAATTCTTGCAAAATATGTAGAGATAAACATATACATTCACAAAACGACATTTGCGATCGATTAATTACATCTCTAAAATACTCCGTACACTTTTCTTTTATTCTAAAAATCAATAGCTAATCGGAAAATTAATATGACAAGATAATGAGGAAATTAAATTCCCTTATAGAAATATCATACTAAGAATCATTGATAATTACTTATTATCCAGTATTTTTAATACTGAAAATAAGTAATTATCAATGATTCTTAGTATGATATTTCTATAAGAGTTAGAAAAGACGATTGCACATCACATTTATTTTATAATTATCTGTTGATTATTAGAACAAAAAGAAAGTGTACGGAGTATTTTAGAGGTGTACTTAATCAATCGCAAATGTCGTTTTGTGGACATATCTGTTTATCTTGACGTACTTTGCAGGAATTTTTAGCATGTGTTTTTTCGCTTCTAACGTCATTAAAAAGAGGTGGATGATGCGACTCCCCAGGAGCTTTAAGATGATTAACTTTATTGTAGGATGCGATATTTTCTACATTTTTTCACAGCGGCTGTTAATTTTAAAAAGTTTGTCATCCTGTATTCAAAAAAAATGTTCTGCTCTTATAGAAATATTATACTAAAAATCATTGATAATGACTTATTTTCAGTATTAAAAATACTGGATAATAAGTAATTATCAATGATTTTTAGTATGATATTTCTATAAGGGTGATGTTATTCAAATAAACATATTTACATAAAAATAAAATACTCATTTATTCAACACTCAATTGAAGTTCATATTGCTCGCATGCCTGAGTGACATTTCACTTTCACACGTGAATCATGCATGCAAGCAATATGGCACTCAATTGAGAACACATCTGTCAGGCGTATAACGTTCACGCCGTGCGGCTAATCCCGCACGCGTGCACGCATCTTGAGATCATTATGCACGCATTTTGTTGTCTGGGTATTAGAACATTATTTAATAAACTCGATATAAAATTATTTCTTAACTTACCGTGATTTGATTCTTATCCATTTTTTATTATTGCTTTGCAAAACTTTTTATATGTGACAATATCCACTTTATCACACCTTTTAGTTCAAACGACACTAAAAGATACACTTACTAAACAGCCAAAAATTGGATTTGGCGTAACGAAAATAGCGTAAAGAACACAAAATAACTAGACGGAAACTGGTATTTAAATGAAATGATGTGATTGGTTGGCGCAAGTTACGCTTACGCAAGTTACGCCGCATGGGAAGGCACCCTAAAGGGACATCTACATTGGAAGTAAACAGTAAGAAGTAGGAAGTAAGAATAAGAAATTGACCAATTATAGTTAATTATTCTTCTCACATTCGACTGTGGTTGGTCAATTTCTTACTCTTACTTCCTACTTATTGCTATTTACTTCCAATGTAGACGTCCCTTAAGGGCCACGGCACACAGAAAAACTTAAGCAGTGAGACGTAAGCATTCACCAATCACAAGTGACCAATCACAAGTAAATTGACCAATCACAGTTGTTGATTCTTCTTACGGTCCAAGAATCAACGACTGTGATCGGCTAATTCGCTTAATGCTTACGTCTTACTGCTTAAGTTTTTCTATGTGCCCCCAACTTAAGAATTGACCAATTACGATTAAGTACTCATCAAAATGGCGACCTTACGATTCGACGATTCTCAACATGATTGTTCAATTCTTACGGTACGTCTTACGTTATTGTTATGTCAATTTGTGTGTGAAGCACTTCAACGAGTTTGTGACGTCATGAATTTTGATGTCACTTCCTGCTGCGGTTACTGCAGCTGGAGGGATAAAGCAGTAGCAGTAAGATGGTGCGTTCTCATTTGTAACCTTGCAGCATCTCGACAGTGCTCGAAGTTAAAACGGAACGCTACTGACTTGGTTTACATCGTACACTTGATAAGTGTACTAAATAGTAACTTTCTATTAGATAATTTTAATATCGACGATATATATAAATAACGATATATTAAGCTGATATAATACTCATCAAGAAATCGTATTATATTGATTGAATGCGTCGCCGTTGATATGCATTGTCGATATTAAGATTATCTAATAGAAAGTTACTATTTAGTACGCGTATCAAGTGCACGATGTAAACCAAGCCACTAGCAGTATACTTTCATGACGTCATAGCATCAGTACTCGTAAATAAAGGCTGCGTTCCGAAATTAACTGCCAGTACTGAAAGTATGACGTCATAAAGTAGAACTGCGGATCCGTTCCGTAATTACTGATGCTGCTTTTCAGCTTGTAATGCAATCAATAACGGAACGGACTCGCAGTAGAAATATTCAGTATTGTGGAGGTTAAGATAAACAAGTTTCATAGATAATTATGGATCAAACATAGCGTGATATGGAGATTGTGATTTTAACAAAAGTTGTAAAATATGTAATAGAATCTTCTGAAAGTTCTTCAGATAGCGAAGAAGATGATATATTTTTAAGGACTCTTAATAGAAATTTGACTCCACGTTTTCGTTGCAAGGACTATGTTGAAAGTGTTATACCATTGTATACAGACGAGGAATTTCAAATGCACTTTCGGTACAGAAAACAATATACAATTTTTACCTAATGTACATCAAACGCATGTAAAAGAAATATGATAAAATGTGCCATTGATTATTAAAAAAAAAAAGTAATATCAAGAAAATGGAATTTATTGTTTCAGACTTAAACGAAGTACTTTTCAATTCTTATTTAAATTATTAAATCCTAAATTAAATAAACAAAATAAAATAAAAATAAAATAATTATAAAAGTAAAATAATTATTGATTATTACAAACTTATACCTGTACGTGCTTTTTCAGCATCTTCACGACTAACTGTTACATTATATATTTTATTACTTTCTGAACATATGAGGCTTAACGTCTCATCACAGAGCGCCGCCATTTTTTCACTGCTGGTGTCTTACCTCGCCAGCCGCAGTAACGAAAGCAGGAAATTACGTCAAAATATATGACGTCACGTGTTAACGAAAGTACATTGAAAGCTTACTGCGACGTATTTCGGAACGACTTTGCAGTACTGCAAGTACTGACAGTGAGTTTCGGAACGCAGCCAATGTAGTAAATAATGTAATCCACTCTAATGGCTCCTGCACACACGATGCGGTAATGCTTGCCGCGCGGCGGAAGTTTACGCGACAACCAATCAATATGCTGCTTTCCGTAATAACTTTCTAGCTCTTACGGAAAAACAACATATTGATTGGCTGTCGCGCAGACTTTCGCTGCGCGGCAAACATTACCGCGTCCTGTGTGCAGAAGCCATCAGCCATAGAGTGGTTGCTTACGATATCGAGTGCATAGCGAGTGAGAACTGGATCTGAGACAATAGTACATATTGCCATCTGTAACTAATATATTCTATGGCTGTTCTTACTCTGCTCTGTTCTGTCTTTTATCCACAGAAACAATATGATTGCGTAAGTACATCAAGGGCCAAG